GGCTATCCATAGGAGCAACTATCAGGGAGACGAGAAGTTGGGAGAAATTCGATCTGCACAAGGCGATAATGCTAGCTTGTTCGTGTAATTTAGACCCAAGTTCCTTATGATGGATGGCTCTAACAGTGGACTATTTCGAAATACTAGGGCTCAAGGAAGCTTAGTTAGACCAAAGTTCCCGAGACTAAACTTGGATGGAGTAAAATTCAATTTGCCAACTTCATCTCCAACGCGGGAGCGAAAGCAGGGCTACCATGATTTCACAACGCAAATATTGGCTGTGTCCTTGGAAGATGAATAACTACAATTAACGTCATCAACGCAAATTAAATTATGTGAATTTTTTGGAGCAGCCGAACCTTGGTAAACGAGTTTAATCCGTTCCGGTACCGAGCTCGTCATGCGAAACGCTCGTCTTACAAAAAGTAGCCAATCAAACAGCATCAGTAAACTGATTGGCTGTAGGCGGCCGAGGACCCACGCCCTGGGAGCAAGCATCAGCGGTGGACAAAAGCACACACACGCACTGACAATTCATTAACTGAGCGGAAATTCGTCAGTCGGAACGATATTTCTGTTAGTGGCACGCTAGTTACCTGAAATGTTTGTAGATAGGCCTGCTCATCACCAAAGGCTCCACTGTACTGTTGAAAGTGCATATATGTGTAGAACGAAGAGGAGGGGACCCAAGGTCATGCCTTTAAAGGGCCACTCGTGATCAAATGAGGCGTGGACTACCTGTTACCCACTAAGATCGTTCGGTTACGGTTAAATAAGTAGGAACCAATGAAGTGGAGGAGAGGGGGTGGATGCCGAGGGTTTCCAATTTCAAAGGTTTTGCTAAAGTCAAAGCAGACCACAACCCCTGATTGCTGCTCAAAATTAAGAAGTACTAAGTGACAAGCTTCACAAGTTTCCCATAGCGAGGTGACCTAAACAGCTTATTAGCTAACAAAAATCAAGAGTTTGATATACGATATTTTTTTCAAGAAGATTTGCTCGAGCTGGAATTTTATGGACATCTCGATAATTATTTACATCAGAGTGAGATTGTGCCTTGAAGACTGGAAGGATAATAGATGTCTTCCATAATTCAGGAAAGAAAGTGTTTAAAACGCAAACTAAAAATAAATGGCTAAGCGATCGGGAGAAGCTTGTCACTGTCTTGATAAGTGAGTTTGGAAACCATAAATTCCAGAAGAGTGGGGGTTTTTTCGGACGAATTATTTGCTTACGAATGAATTCTAAGGCGAAATCAATAGTAATTATAACGTTTACTAAGCTGTGTTCGCATCCATTTAGTCATGATGTTACTTCCGTGGCGGGTTCTCGATATTTCAGAGGTTCCCTCAAAAAGTAATTCAGCTTACAATCCTTCATATCAGAGTTCTGAGGGTCGGCTTCAGTGGACAGGACAAACTTGATTTGTCCCTTCCTTTCAAGCGTGCTTTTGGGAAGTTGCGGTAGCCATGTTACCGTCTAATACACCGCGATTCTTCACTTTCTATACTTATCTAGAAAGCACACTGCCATGCAACGGGAGAACAATCACTAGGGTTGATACTCGGATCTCCAAAGCCAGAAAAATATTTGGCCAGCTGCAAGCCTCCGTGTGGAATCATTACGGCCTTCAGCTGAACACCAAACTGAAGATGTACATGGCCGTCGTCTTGACAACACCCATGTATTTAGAGAAGACATTGACCGCTTAAATGGCAGTCCATGATCAGCATCACTATATTTATTCATTGTGCCTTCGCAG